ACCCCTAATTTTAGGAAACCACCCATAAACCTGATAATAGTAGTTTCCATTTTCTTTTCCATTATCCCCATATAACCCCAATATATACCCTAAAACCATATTATAGTACCCTATATACTCCCTTAAAGGACCTAGGGTTTCCATTTCATTTTCCATTTTCTTTTCCATTTGATTCTCCATTATAGTAAACCCTGAGCCCCGAATCCGGAGTGCAGCCTTGCTGACAGGGCCGATGGTCAAGTAGTTGGTCTCAAGGTCCTTTTGTTTAGGGGTTTAGGGTTTAGGGGTTTAGGGTTTAGGGGTTTAGGGTGGCAAGGCATGCAACGTCGACTTGCATGTGTGGTCCAGGGCGTAAATTGCCTGTTTAAGATGGTTCAACAGGCTTCAACAGGCTTCGAGGATCTTAGAGGGGGGCTGCAAGGGATCGACGAGGAAATCGACGGGATTACGTAGGGGGAACATCATCGCCAGAACTCAGATCACCACTCTCTTGGGCTCACGAAGTGATGACCCCCCCCCCGCGCGTCCTCTGCGTGCATGTACTCCATGGCAAAGCCACAGCTGACTCTTCTGAGCCACTGCCATGGCCCAAGTCGCTCGTAGATCAACAGGACATCCTGCACGATGGCTCATTTGGATGTGTCTTGCGGCATGGGCTACTTGTAGGTCCTTTCTGCATGGTTGGCAGGGAGGACTTCTTTACAAAATCAACAAACCAGCTTGCAAGGCACGATCGCGCCAGACAAGCCGGATGTAATGTTTGTTGGCTTGGCATGCGATGAGGGCTGTCTCCTCCCTGAGACTCAAATTCTGATGGGCAATTCTTTTTCTTAATCACTATATTCCCAGGAAGCTCCGGTGCCTGCATTGGTTCAGGAACGTTCCACTCCACAGCACAATCATTGCATTGGTTTTGATTTCGCGCGGCGCTGCGCAATTGAGATTCAAATGTTTCAGTCCTGGAGCAGCCGCATGACCGGATGGATCGGGCTGTAGTTGTCGATCTCAGCGACGCTGTGCACGTGCTTCCTCTGCGGGTAGGCCATTCAGGGATCAGGGTGCCTTCTGGAAACCGATGTGCGGTTTAGAATGTAGGAAATGGTGAAGTTCCAAGGCCTATCGACTTTTTTGCGGCTCACTTTTTTGGACCTTGATGTGTTCAAATGATATGCAGGGCTCCTAAACCCCACATCCAAACCCAATGCCCTACACCCTTAACTCAGATTCCAAGCCCCTAAACCCTAACCCCTAAACCCCAAGCCCTTAAAATCCGTAAACCCCTTACCCTGCTCGACGACCTCCAGGGGATCTCGCTGTACTTCTCTGCGCCGTACAGCTCTGACCTGCTCATCAAACAAGCTATACCCTTAAAGTCTAGGGTTTAGGGTTTAGGGATTTAGGGTTTAGGGTTTAGGGATTTAGGGTTTAGGGTTTAGGGATTTAGGGTTTAGGGTGTAGGTGCCCAATAATTAGGTACTTGGGTTTGGGGCAATAGTAATTATAGTACAGATTTGGGTAAGTATATGGTTATTAGCTACTTGGACCCTTCGGGAAAATCGATATTTCCTAATGCAATTTATGCACCTGAGTCCTTACTACTACATTTTTAAGGGGGTTATAGAGTATATACTATTCCATTTTAAACGGGTTATATAAGGATACCTAGGCAGCATAGTATGGACCATACTAGACTACCCCCCAAAGGACCCCCATGTGGACTCTTAATGGTCCCTTTGGTAGCCTAATATTGATAGTAGCTCAAATGGGCTTCAAGTTTGTTTCGCGAGGGGCAAAGCCTTTAGAGGGATTCAAAAGTGATTAGGGTTTAGGGTGTAGGGTGTGGTCCTCAATAAAGTCTGGTCCCTGTTGGTTTGCGAATATGCCCAATATTAAGGGGTACCAAAATGGGACCTTAGTTTTGGAAACTACCAATGAAATTTTGGGATCACTTCAAAACGCATCTAAGGCCTCAGCAATCTCACTGCAAACCCTGTATCTGTAAGCCCGCAGCATGCCGACTCCCGCGAGATCTATGAGCCGCGCATGAGATATAGACTAAACTCCTAGTATCCCCCTCAACAAGACTCTAACTACCCTATATAACCCCCTGAACCCTAAACCCTAAACCTTTTAAACCCTAAACCCTAAAAGCCTAAACCCTAAACCCCCTATATAACCAGCCTTTCAGGAGCTTAGACTAAAGTCCAGACTGTACAAGCAGCCTCCAAAACCCTGGTGCAAAAACCTTGGGAGAAATCTGTTGATCGTCTCTTGGGTTATTCCCCCTTACAATAGCTGTAGTTATTTTGGTGTTTACCTAGT